AAAAAAAAATTATGGACACTATAAAAAACTCCTAGAAAATATTGACTTCAATGAAAATCAACACTAATCAAGAAGCAATGAAGACATATAATCTAAACCAGATAACGGGGAACCATCATGTTACCTTAACAGTGCCAAATTTTTTGAAAACACCCTTCAAATCCTCACGCATAACAACATTCATGTCATCCTTATAGGTAGCAACTGCAGATTTTTCTTCTTTTTCTTCTCCCTTTTCCATGGAACCTTCAGACGACTTCTCTCCATCTTCATTATCTGCCTTCAGCTCATTTTCTGGGGAATCTAGTTCTCCATTTACTTTCTTTGCACTATCATTAGCTGGCTCGTGAGTGCCATTTTTGTCCCCAGCTACGGTATTCTTCAATGTGAATGCAACAATTAAGCCCTTCGGATAACTGTCATCATCATGAGTGCAGAACATTAGGTTACAATTTTTTGCTTTGGGGTGGGGGGTAGGACCAATAGAGCTCATATAATAGAGTGTTTTTAATTACTTTGCTTCAGAATTTGAGTTGTTTTTGCGACTTGAACCCATGTGTGGACGAAATTTCTCAACTTCCTCGACCTCTTTGGCTCGTTCCTCATCAAAGTCTTTCCTGAATGGTGAAGAAAATCTATGAGAACACAACAATAAAGATAAAAAAGTTTTAATGTGCAGACATGAACAAAAGAGAAAGCCATCAAGTTCTTCTGTACATGCCCAAAAATAAACTAATAAATGTAAGCAAGATTCATCGAAGAAACTTCATTTGTCCATTTAACTTGTCTGTTTCTGCATATTGCCAATATATAAACTCAAAAGCCAAAAACCATAAAACATTACGAACAAAGAAAAATAATTATTTTAAACATCTTCTTTATATCGTGGATAACTATGTAGAATACATTGTGAAAGAGACATAATCTAATTACCAGACATTTGGAAATCACATTGTTTAATACTTCTGAAAAGTCTCATTGAAATAATTATAAGAAAAACCAAAATCCCACCCACAACTTACTTTGGCTTCAATTCTAGATCAACACCTGCATAAACCAAGCTTTGCTTCAAAACATTTTCTGCATCTTCCTCTGTTGAAAACTCAATCAAAGCAGTACCGCAAAACAACCTTTTATCTGCTACATGCCGAGGCAACCTCACACTATTAACCTTAAATAATTAAGAACATAATCAGATGAAGAGAACTTTACTTATTTAGTTACTCCACATCTAGAGTTCGAAAAGATAGAATCAGATCACTTAACAAATATATTGCACCAAATCTAAAGTAAGAACCCACTTCTGGCAGCTAGTGATGGATTTGTATCATTCAATTTAAGGCACTCCAACCGTCAACTTCAAATAAAGGGAATAGCTAATACCTTAGCATATTGAGAGAAAAAGGACGACACATCTTCCCGATTCACATCATATTCTAGAGGTGATGCAGCAATTGTTCTTCCATCTAATTGCTCTTTCATCTCCTCTGCCTTTGGTAATTCAGCAACTCGACCAACTTTCTTCCCTGAAGGACCCAAAAAGAAAAAGTAAACAAATGTGTGAAATATACAATAAAAGATCCTAACAAATGGATGTTGATAATTGATGTAACCAATAATAGCCTGAACTTTTCTTCTCAAATACAATACTACATTAAAAATTAACCATCAACTGCGACTCTCTCAGAAAATATATGCTCGAGAGAGAGAGAGAGGTTAGAAAAATTCTAGCTTTTTGAATAAAAATGGAGAAAAATCACTTAAAAGGCAATAAATACGTCTAAAATGCTAAACAGACCATGCCCAGATAGAAATTAAACCAAGCCAAAGATCTGAATTTAGCTCCCTTAGACTTTTACTATTATTTTCTTTTTTGGTCTCCCAAATTCCATAATGAAATTTTCAATTACAAATGCTATGCAGTATTTCCTCAAATCTAAACAGAGCGTCAGTCAGAGGTTTAGAAAATCTACCGTCTTCAGAAAGTTTAAGAGAAGTAGATTTTTTAAGAGTTTCAGCCACGGCCTTCAATGTATCTTCAGGCATGTCTTCTGCCTTCACATTGCCCAATTTTAAATGATCTTTCATCTTCTTGAACGAACAAATCAGGGCCAAGCTAACAACTGTACTCTCAGTCAATATCAACAAAAACACACTTATGCAATATTCAAATACTCAAAAAATCAAAACCTCCGCATTTTCCAAGAAACAAAAGCCCACACAGTTGGTTTCAAATAATGAACTTTTCCCTAAAAAAAAAATCAATATAAATAAATGACAAGAGTGAGGATACACGCATCCTGGCTTTCGCTCATCTTTTTTCTGAGAAACTCGTCCGTAGGAATATTGCTGTCGCTGAAGTAAAACTCAACCTGCAAAATACAAATAATTAAGAAAACAAATAACTCAACTAAAAAATAAAACAAAAAAAATTAAAATATTTCAAAGAGTGAAGCAGTTGGAAGTTAAAAAGAAAGACCTGTCTGAGCACTGCTTTAGCTGTTTCTTCATCCAAGGACGCCATTGTTATTGTTGTGACTAAAGAGAGCGGAAGAGAGCGAGAAGGGGAGACAGAGAGTGTTTAGGGTTTTGGGGATGTTTTAGTTCAGGGTTAAATTAAAGACAACATATATATAGAGACAGATACATAAATACTTTAATGTTTGAACTCAACCACAGTGGTTGGCTACGACTTATCGTGCCTTCATTTGCCCGCCACGTACGTTAACTGCTACTTGGCGAGTCATAATCGGAATTGGTATTTTAATTTTTTTTTTTTTTTCACCTCTTCTATTAGATAAAAATTTAATTTCAGAGAGAAGCAAAATATTAAATTTTTTTTTTTTTTTTTGGTTGATTGGGTGTCCAAATTAGTCTATGCGTATCTTATGTAATCCACAAGATCCATTAAACGCCTTAGAAGTCCAAAATATACCTCAACTAATCTTTAGGATTCATTGAACACCCTACAAACCTAAAGGACTAAGTAAACCACAAGATTTAGTAGGTGATCTCAATATTTAAACCCAAAAACTCAAGAAAGAATGCAAACCTTTTTCACCGTCAGGTCAATCCCTTGGTGTTCACAATATTAAATTTCGTTCCAATTAATACTCAATTTTTTTCTAAAATTTGGTGATCGAAAAAACTAATATTTTTTTATATTTTCACTTAATAAACAGTTATCTATAACCACTAAGCTTATGGTCGGATAATAAAACCTTAATAATCTTAATAGATTACCTGGAGGTCTTGTTACCTAATCCATTGGACTTATAAAGTGTTCAATAAGTCTTAAGAATTAAACCCTAGTTATCAAAAAGTTATTAGAATGATTTTTTTTAAATTGTGCTTATAATTATATTCCTATCCATTTACATAATTTTTTTTTTTTTTAAATGTTCTTCTTGTAGGCCAACATTTTATACTTCAAAGTTTTCATATATTTTTCTCTTCTTCAGAGTTTATGTTTTTATTATCAGTGAACTCCTTAATCAAGTATTTTAGTCCAATTAAGTTTTACTATCCTTTTATTTACTTTTTTTTTTTTTTTTTTTTTAGCCAGGATGTTATTGTGTTTGATTCTAAAAAAAATATTATTTTTTTAGTATTAAATCAGTCGGAAAAAATGCAAATATTGATTTTGATATAATTTAGTTTATATTTTTCAACTTATTAATTTTTGCATTATTTAAACTAATAAAATTAAAACTTGTTTAAGTAATATATAATTTAATACAAAGGGGCATATATGTCAAAATGATAATTTTAAGATATTTTTGTGCACTAAAACAAATAATTTAACACTTAAAACCAAACTATAAAAAGCCAAAAAAAAGCCATATCATGTAGATTTAACTATTCAATTCATAAACCAATTCAGTCTAATTCAGTTTTCAGATAGTAAAACAAACACCATTGTGTTTTTCTTTTTAGTTAGAAGTCTGCATTAAACCAATTCAGTCTACTTCAGTTTTCAGATAGAAAAACAAACACCACTGTGTTTTTCTTTTTAGTTAGAAGTCTGCATTTCAATCACATAATTCAAATATTTAAGAAAACCAAATTTTATCATTGTAAAAAATAAATAAATCTCATCAAATAGTAAATTACAATGAGATTAGTTCTTTTAATTTAAAATTTCTGACTTAAATAGTTTACATAAATTTTCAAACATGGATTCAATAAAATTCAACAGTATAAGAATTACTTAAGTAGCAAACAAAATAACTACCTCCAAACTCTTTCTCACATCTAGCAGTTCCTAAAATATCTACTGCAGAAAATTTAAGTTACAAGACCTCGTCCCAGTTACTATCAATTTACATTATCATTTAGGGTATAAAAGTATTCATTATCATCAATTTAAATTATCGGTTAGGGTAGAGTATTTCTTTCATATGATCTCATTGAGAGTATTTCTTCATATGATCTCGTTGAAACCACAGCCAAAACACACAATAATAATAATGAAAAGTAAAGAAGACAATCAATTTACCATGATTCGTTCCAATAATAAATTATATCCAGCATTCAAATAGAATAATTTTATTGAGTTTCAAAAATCTGCATAATACAATAATCTTAAAGTATGAACAGTTCACTCTTGTTTTCTATTTCTCACTATCTAGGTTTTTCACTATTACAAAATACATATAATAGAAAACCTAACCGCAGTTGGGCTTTACCCAATATGCATCAGCATAAGCCGATCATCCGTAGTGGTCATGTGAAGCATGAACCATATTTAACAGATCTAACTGTTTTTCACTATTACAAAATACATATAATAGAAAACCTAACCGCAGTTGGGCTTTACCCAATATGCATCAGCATAAGCCGATCATCCGTAGTGGTCATGTGAAGCATGAACCATATTTAACAGATCTAACTGAAAACAAAAAACATATAATCCCTAATGCTTATAATTTGTTCTCCAATGGTTTCCAATGAACAAAATGCTTAAATTTTGTCATACAACCATGCACACCAACTAGTAATTAAGTACAAACAAAACAAACTGCAGGATCAGTTTCCTTATAGAATTTGATTACAGAAACAATTTTTTTAGTAGGCGATTACAGAAACACATGCTATCAATCATTAACCATGAATAAATGATGCAAATCATGTTTCATCATATCATCAAAGTACAACAAATGGTCTATTTTTAAGTAAAGTTCACCTCCCCTCAATGATCCCATTTCTTCAGGTTGTGCATATCTTTTTGTTACTAGCACCCTCTGAGTTCCACATTTAGGACCGAGGTGATTTATTCACAAGGGAAAATAACTGAAGGCCTAGCATCACATTCTGAATGGAAAATTCCATCTTTCTATGGCAGTAAGTTTTCCTGCTCTTACGAAGCAGTTTGACACTCGTGTGCTTACATAAAGTCCTCTTCCAGTTCCTGCAAGGACTTACTTTCTGAAGCAATCTGTTTGTTAGATGTCATCTTGTCGGACACCATCAATCCCTTGTAGCTCCTTATCTCTGCCTGTCTCTCCTTTTCAAGCCTCTCCATCTCCTCACGCCGTTTCTGCAAACAGATATGTAAAGAGATTTTTATTAAAAAATTAAAGATAGATAGATAGATAATATATGGATGCAAGATTCAATGGACATAGAGTTCTGACTGACTATCAAGAACTAAAGATATCATAAACCAAGAACTGTCTATACTGAATATCAAGGACTAAAGATATCATAAACCAAGAACCGTCTATATTACTAAACCAGATATGTCAATATAACTGTACAAGGTAATGCACTTTACATATTTTGGTCACAGAAATGGGAGCTAAGAATATAGGAAATGCTTAGCAGCATAACTTCTGTAACTAGTTCCCAGACCATGAGCAGATAGATACGTCATTTAAAAAATTAAAATAGGATTTCAAGTTCATTAAATAACAGGAATAGCATCTGGTATTAACTCACCCATATTACAGAACAAAGATGGAAATTTGCCATTTACATAACTAAAAGTCTAAAACCATGACAACACAGATATTTTATTTATATTTTTACTTCCTCAGACTTTTTTCCTGAAAATCACTCCCAATGTATCATCTCACTCTGCCTGATTAAAACCAAGTAATTTGACAACCCACCCCAACCCCCAAACTCACCCTACCTATCTTCCCCCAAACTCATCCTAGCTATCTTCCGTTCCAAGCAAAGGAACACATAAACGAGACAGAAGAGAAGGAAAAAGACGTCCATAGTTTTCATATTAGAATTTGGAATCTTCACAACATCAAGATTAATTACTAATTAATAAGGAGAGTGCAAGTTATAAAACTCACTTTATCTCTCAGCTGGAGTTTCCTCTCAGCTCTTTCTGCGGCATTTGCTGATTCTCGCTCAGCTGCAGGAATGTAACAAAAGGAAAATGACCATGAGCAAAAAGAAAAAAGATGCAGAAGAACTAAATTCGTGAACAATATAAGAAAAATTGAGAACATTAAACCAAAGTACTAAGCATGAATTCCTTCAAGATGGAATAACAGAATATTACTATTTAAGAAACCATTTGATAAACAACGAAGTGTATAGAAGTTACCTTTTAAATCAGGTTTCCTTTCCACTTTTGTTTTGTTCAATCTATTAACTACCTCATTTATCCGCTTTTCCACCCTCACAGTGCGAACCTAAATTGAGCATCAAAACCACGCAAAAATCCGTCACTCACAATCAAGTTCAACCCAACAAACACAATCAAGTTTCAAAGCTTGCAACTCATAGAAAATACAAGCACAAACAAGTCTCAAAGCTTGCAAATGATAGAAAATACAAGCACATAAACCAGAAAAAACAAAGGATGTTACCATTTTTGAATTGTGGAAACCAACTTGGCCAACATCCATGGAAGCAGTTTTCTTTAAATTGGACCATGGAGTGTAAACAACATCAATATTATTCACCTTGTTGCCTGCCACATAATGAAACGGATTACAATGCCTCAATGCTTACAATTACATATCATATTTCTTTCAATAACAGATTTCTCAAAAGTTATCGAGACATATATACCCAAATCAAACACAGAAATCAATAAATATTTTATCACTTCATTCTAGCCTTATATAATCATCAGAAACGTAATATGAAAAAACAATCACATAAAACAAAATCATAATTGATTGAATTATAAGATGAATCAGCCTAGAAAGATTATACCTTGAATGGAATTCGCTTTGACAAGCTGAGCACAATCTTCCAAAACACCTTCACTTATATCATCAATAGTCTGACCCTTGTGCAATCTTAAATAAACATGAGCTGAAGACATTTTATCCACATGAAACCTGCAAAAAGAGATAATTAAAATTCATAATTGATTGATAAATTAGGTTAATTTGAATGTAAAATTAGGGATTTAAAGAAGTACCAAACGTCTTCGGGGAAACCGTATTTGATGAGTTCTTCGTTCTCGTACTTGTCGAGACCCATGAAGATGGTGTAATCGCCAGCCTCTGGTCGGGCTTTGAAGTAAAACACCATCTTGTTCCTTGTTTGCCCCTTTCGATTGAGACCAGAGACTTTGATATAAAAAAATTCCCTTTTAAAAGTCTTCCTCTGATCGGCGATAGATAATGAGTCTTCTGTTTTTTAGGTTTTGGTGTTTGGATACGAGATTCCTACTTTCCCAGGATGCAGTTAGCTTATTCTATACGCTGCTTAGTTTATGCCTTGTATTTCATGGTAAAAGTAACTTTTGGTTTCCCATTTCAATCTTTCGTGGCTGTAGGCCCTACATATCAACACCATGGGCCTAACCAAGTTACAAAGTCATGGTCCAACTTTTTTGACAATAAATTCTAATCTTTTTCTTCCCAAAACTGAATATCATGAAAAATATTTGTCCACACATGCTTAATAAAATATTGTATTATAAATATAGAATAATATTTCCTATACAAACTTTTACCTATATGTTTTAAGATACCATCTCATCAATTCTTAGACCATTAAATTTTAGTGGTTTGTAGCATATATCTCTAGTTATAATAAGACTAAATGACTTTTTTTCACTCAAATAATAGTTTAACGATATTTTTTTATCCATAGATTTTTAAAATACCATTTTATTATCCAAATTTATATTCCGTATTCGATTCTAATATCGTTGCAACACCACACTACCACCATTCTCTTCTCTGATCATCACTCACTAAAACCCTACTCCCAGTCTCCCACCAACTCCTTCAATCGGCGATAATCAAGTGATTAGTATTTGCACGGCAATCCCTCCCAAGTCAAATTCTAACAATCTCAAGTCTCAACGACCAAAAACCAACTTTCTACTATCACAAGATTCATCGGTCTCTCCTCTTCAAAAGTCCTAACAGCTTTGACCGAGTTTTTTTTGTTTGCTACTAGAATATAAATTTAGATAGTAAAATGGTATTTTAAAAGTTTGTGAGTAGAAAATTGTTATTAAACCATTATTACAATTTACAATATATAAACTATATCCTCTTTACTTCATAAAAATATGTTCTGTATTATTAACATAATAGTGAACAGAGTAGCTTGGTCATGTGTCTAAACTTAAAAACAATTATAAATAGTAATCAGACATTTAATTAATTAATAAAAAGCTTATAATTTATAAATAATCAAATCCTGTCGCGGTATGATCAATCTAAAATAAACCATGCTCCATGGAGAAGGTCCAAATAAGAGGACTACAAATTAGGCATTGTATTTGCAGAGATTCTCAAATCCCATATATTCACCATGCTCAATTTTCCCAATCATGTCTGATAATCCAACCCCACCTGCCAAACACAAGGAGATCGATAAACTGGATAAATTAAACAACGAATTTGAATTAAATAATTGAGCAGAATAATATTTGCTCACCCAGTGATAATGCACTGACAAAGATTGTGAAGGCAAGAACAAAGATTATCAGAGACGCCCTTCCTGTTATAGTGATCAACTTGGTAATGATGTATTGCCCTATAAAAGCAGCAATAAGAGCCACCACAATGAAGTATAGAGCTGCCAACCAAATAATTTGCAATTTACGTCATTTTGGCTAGATTCAAAGATGTATAACCAGAGTTTTTTCATGGTAAATTCTGTATATTAATTCCAATGTAACTTACCATACGGGACTGGAAAACGATTCAGAAGGTAGAATTCTACGACAGACATTGATGATGAGAAGGTCATTCCAAAGGTGGCTGTGGCACTTGCAACCTGCATCATCAAAATTTTGTAATTTAATTAGATCTAACGCTTTCTGTCTGCGAACAAGCTTGCGATCGAGTTGATGAGCAATGAAGAGTAGAATTAATGGTGACCTGAGGAGGTATTCCCAGCTCCAAAAACAGGGGACCCATGATGAATCCTCCGCCTATTCCAAGTAAACCACCGACTAATCCGGCTACCATCCCACAGGCACACCACTGACCCAGTTGATAAACTCCCCAGTTTTTGCCATCATCACCCTTTGATGCAATAACTCTCCGTCCCTTATACAACCCAATTGCCTCATACAGAAACACTCCAACAGAAGCTGGGATTTGCAACAAGTTCAATACCCAGTATCCTGAGGAACATGTAGCTGTGTAGTTCTGTTACCAACGTATACCTCATGTGAAGAGTTAACACTAATTAAACAAGCCATTTTCATAATAGCCAGCAGATAAAAATAAAATAACCTTGGCAATCTGCAGTGCTAGGTATGCAACCCAAACAAAAGTGAGAAGTCCAAGTTCTTTCCAGCGAATGTTTTCAAGAACAGTAACCTGCAGAGGACCAGTTGTAAATATAAGAATATTGGTTGATCTAAATTTATTTACATATATATACCAAACCAACCTCTGGGTTCTTGGTGAACTTCTGAGGATCGGTGCTTGAGCCACCAAGAAGTGGCTTGTAATCCGCGCCTTCATCAGCACTGGTACCTGATCACGGATTCCCAGATAAATTACAAAGAAACATAATTGCTATGACTTCATGAATTAACTACTGTATTGTACCATTATAAAATTAATGGAAGCAGTTGATGAACTCACCAGCACTCGAAGAAACCATTTGATAAACAACGAAGTGTATAGAAGTTACCTTTTAAATCAGGTTTCCTTTCCACTTTTGTTTTGTTCAATCTATTAACTACCTCATTTATCCGCTTTTCCACCCTCACAGTGCGAACCTAAATTGAGCATCAAAACCACGCAAAAATCCGTCACTCACAATCAAGTTCAACCCAACAAACACAATCAAGTTTCAAAGCTTGCAACTCATAGAAAATACAAGCACAAACAAGTCTCAAAGCTTGCAAATGATAGAAAATACAAGCACATAAACCAGAAAAAACAAAGGATGTTACCATTTTTGAATTGTGGAAACCAACTTGGCCAACATCCATGGAAGCAGTTTTCTTTAAATTGGACCATGGAGTGTAAACAACATCAATATTATTCACCTTGTTGCCTGCCACATAATGAAACGGATTACAATGCCTCAATGCTTACAATTACATATCATATTTCTTTCAATAACAGATTTCTCAAAAGTTATCGAGACATATATACCCAAATCAAACACAGAAATCAATAAATATTTTATCACTTCATTCTAGCCTTATATAATCATCAGAAACGTAATATGAAAAAACAATCACATAAAACAAAATCATAATTGATTGAATTATAAGATGAATCAGCCTAGAAAGATTATACCTTGAATGGAATTCGCTTTGACAAGCTGAGCACAATCTTCCAAAACACCTTCACTTATATCATCAATAGTCTGACCCTTGTGCAATCTTAAATAAACATGAGCTGAAGACATTTTATCCACATGAAACCTGCAAAAAGAGATAATTAAAATTCATAATTGATTGATAAATTAGGTTAATTTGAATGTAAAATTAGGGATTTAAAGAAGTACCAAACGTCTTCGGGGAAACCGTATTTGATGAGTTCTTCGTTCTCGTACTTGTCGAGACCCATGAAGATGGTGTAATCGCCAGCCTCTGGTCGGGCTTTGAAGTAAAACACCATCTTGTTCCTTGTTTGCCCCTTTCGATTGAGACCAGAGACTTTGATATAAAAAAATTCCCTTTTAAAAGTCTTCCTCTGATCGGCGATAGATAATGAGTCTTCTGTTTTTTAGGTTTTGGTGTTTGGATACGAGATTCCTACTTTCCCAGGATGCAGTTAGCTTATTCTATACGCTGCTTAGTTTATGCCTTGTATTTCATGGTAAAAGTAACTTTTGGTTTCCCATTTCAATCTTTCGTGGCTGTAGGCCCTACATATCAACACCATGGGCCTAACCAAGTTACAAAGTCATGGTCCAACTTTTTTGACAATAAATTCTAATCTTTTTCTTCCCAAAACTGAATATCATGAAAAATATTTGTCCACACATGCTTAATAAAATATTGTATTATAAATATAGAATAATATTTCCTATACAAACTTTTACCTATATGTTTTAAGATACCATCTCATCAATTCTTAAACCATTAAATTTTAGTGGTTTGTAGCATACAAACGGCTTTTTTCCGCTTAAATAATGATTTAATGACAGTTTTTTACCTATATATTTTTAAAATACCATTTTATTATATAAATTTATTTTCTGTTTTCGATTCTAGTATCGTTGTGACACCATACCATCACTGTTCTCTTTTTCAATCATCACTGACCAAAACCTCCAAAACTCCACTTCCACCGACTCTTTTAATCGTTGGTAATCGAGTGATTAGGGTTTGTATAACAGCCCCTCCCAAGTCAAATTCTAATCAATCTCAAACACCAAAAACCAACTTTCCACTACCACAAGATTCATCAGTTTCTCCTCTTCAAAAGTCGTAATAATCTGGATCGAGTTTATTTTTTGTTTGTTACCAGAATATAAATTTGAATAGTAAAATAGTATTTTAAAAGTTTGTGAATAGAAAATTGTCATTAAACCATTATTTGGGTGAAAAAAAGTCGTCAACTCTTATAATAACATAATTTATTACAATTTACAATATTTAATTATATCCTTTTTACTTCATAAAAATATGTTCTGTATTATTAACATAATAGTGAACAGAGTAGCTTGGTCATGTGTCTAAACTTAAAAACAATTATAAATAGTAATCAGACATTTAATTAATTAATAAAAAGCTTATAATTTATAAATAATCAAATCCTGTCGCGGTATGATCAATCTAAAATAAACCATGCTCCATGGAGAAGGTCCAAATAAGAGGACTACAAATTAGGCATTGTATTTGCAGAGATTCTCAAATCCCATATATTCACCATGCTCAATTTTCCCAATCATGTCTGATAATCCAACCCCACCTGCCAAACACAAGGAGATCGATAAACTGGATAAATTAAACAACGAATTTGAATTAAATAATTGAGCAGAATAATATTTGCTCACCCAGTGATAATGCACTGACAAAGATTGTGAAGGCAAGAACAAAGATTATCAGAGACGCCCTTCCTGTTATAGTGATCAACTTGGTAATGATGTATTGCCCTATAAAAGCAGCAATAAGAGCCACCACAATGAAGTATAGAGCTGCCAACCAAATAATTTGCAATTTACGTCATTTTGGCTAGATTCAAAGATGTATAACCAGAGTTTTTTCATGGTAAATTCTGTATATTAATTCCAATGTAACTTACCATACGGGACTGGAAAACGATTCAGAAGGTAGAATTCTACGACAGACATTGATGATGAGAAGGTCATTCCAAAGGTGGCTGTGGCACTTGCAACCTGCATCATCAAAATTTTGTAATTTAATTAGATCTAACGCTTTCTGTCTGCGAACAAGCTTGCGATCGAGTTGATGAGCAATGAAGAGTAGAATTAATGGTGACCTGAGGAGGTATTCCCAGCTCCAAAAACAGGGGACCCATGATGAATCCTCCGCCTATTCCAAGTAAACCACCGACTAATCCGGCTACCATCCCACAGGCACACCACTGACCCAGTTGATAAACTCCCCAGTTTTTGCCATCATCACCCTTTGATGCAATAACTCTCCGTCCCTTATACAACCCAATTGCCTCATACAGAAACACTCCAACAGAAGCTGGGATTTGCAACAAGTTCAATACCCAGTATCCTGAGGAACATGTAGCTGTGTAGTTCTGTTACCAACGTATACCTCATGTGAAGAGTTAACACTAATTAAACAAGCCATTTTCATAATAGCCAGCAGATAAAAATAAAATAACCTTGGCAATCTGCAGTGCTAGGTATGCAACCCAAACAAAAGTGAGAAGTCCAAGTTCTTTCCAGCGAATGTTTTCAAGAACAGTAACCTGCAGAGGACCAGTTGTAAATATAAGAATATTGGTTGATCTAAATTTATTTACATATATATACCAAACCAACCTCTGGGTTCTTGGTGAACTTCTGAGGATCGGTGCTTGAGCCACCAAGAAGTGGCTTGTAATCCGCGCCTTCATCAGCACTGGTACCTGATCACGGATTCCCAGATAAATTACAAAGAAACATAATTGCTATGACTTCATGAATTAACTACTGTATTGTACCATTATAAAATTAATGGAAGCAGTTGATGAACTCACCAGCACTCGCTTCCAAACGCTTAGTCGCGTCCTAAAATGTTGGAATAAGATAATAGAATCAATTAGCCATATTCGTATTGTCAGCACATAAAGCTCTCAAGCTCCACACAAAGCATTAGTCAAGAAGGATACTTCACATGAAAATGTGAGCATTTATTCCTTATATATAGTGGACTTACTTTATACTACTGTATTGAAATTCTCAGAACATATTAAGCTTACAACAGAAATTCGGTGAGAGAGAAATAAACGACTTCATCTCTTTCAATACACGTTACCTCTGTTAATCTGGTTTCAGTTTTCCATGTATCAAGACCCTTGAAGAATGCCTTTATTGAAGTGACTGCAATTAATAACCAATATTAAAAGGGCTAAAGGAAGACTGCAAAAACTTATTAATCTTTATAATTACCTATACATAGAATAATTAGCAGAACCGTGACCATCCAATCGGCAAAAATCACGTTAAGAGAAACTCCAATGCTAATGCCAAGCATGAGCACCGGTTGAATAATCAGCACCAAATCATAGTCAATGATGGGCATATCAAGAGTTGGATGCCGTAGCTTAAGGTTATAGTACACAGTTGAAACTGCTGCACCCATTATCATACCTGAAAAAACACAAAGACAGACCATTGTAGTTAATGTTTCAAGATCCAAATTTTAACTGTCATATAATTTACTCTTATAACAACTTACATTTTGATATGGCTGTGGCTGATTTTGGATCAAACCCAATAATCAGACTGAGCATGGGAACAAAAATGCCACCCCCACCAACACCACCTACGCTTCCAAAGGCAGCCCCAAAGATTCCAATTGCACTACCAACCACAATTCTCCAACCAAACTCCATTTCCTACATTTATAATGATAGCCAATCGAAAATTAAATTAAGAACAGTACTAAAGGGCTTCATGGGGGAAAGTAAAAGAGAACGTTCGTGTATAACTTACCGGCCAAACATGTTGATAGCCAGATTGGTTGGGTTGCCATAAGAAATTCATAGCAGCGAGAAGGTTGTTAGATTGAGTGTGTATTGATGATGATGCATTGGATACTAAGGCTTCATGTTTAATGCGTCTTTGAGCAGAAACGTATGTTGAAGCCAACAGAAAGACGATCAAAATCCTAAATATAAATCTCATAGTTAGCCAGTTTTGTCCTAAGTTAGCCATTACAGCCCAAGAAATGAACCACTCTAGTATAATGAGGCTGTGTGCTGTGCACCACACAGAGAGAATCTTCTACAGTGAATGTAAAAGAAAAACCCCACACACACACACACAGAAAAAACTCGTCAAAAGGGAAGATAAATAAAGATTACTCCAGTTCCACAGGCATACCTCAACAGTCGTTCAGAAGAATCTGGTAAAAGTTTTTCTTTTAACATGTTTTCCTCAAGTTATTTTTTATTAGAAACAAGACAAACTTGTAATGAGAAGCATTATACCTGTATAATTTATGGCCTGACTTTTTCCTTTTTCAATTAATTTGAAATTATTGATCAATTCCCGGTTTCAGACTAACCTAACCTCTGTTTTATTTCTCTTCAATTTCTTGGAAAATACTCTTAACACCTACGATTAAGCACTTGTATCCACGATTAGTCCTCCTGTGCCAAAATACGCACAAATCTCAGCACCATCAAGAATAATTTAATAAGCACTTAAAGATAAGGGTGGTATTAACTGTCAAAAACTTAAATTGTCTCTAAGAGATATTTTATATCAATCCTATCTCATTTTAAGATAAGGATTAAGGAGTGGTCCTCTCGTGTCAAAACAACTTACAAAAACACTCATTACATTGATCTCAAAAGTATAAATAGGCACCTCTAGAGTTGGACATTCAGAACCAGATCCAAAAACCTGATCCTAAGATCAGTCCTTGAGAGGACCGATCCTAACAGGCCTAGTCCCAAAACTGGACCAAGCCTAAGGAGGAGGGCTCGATCCCTCCACTAGGCCCTCCTCCAAGGCCTGGGTCGGGCCCAAACCCTTTTGGTTTATTGTTTTAGGCCCCTGAACAATTACTAAATTCTCCTATAAATTTTGAAATAAACAGGAACTATAAGGGTTAAAATAAAATTTTACAAAATTTAAGAATTTTTTTTTACATTTATGCTATTTAATAACCGTTGGCAGTAGCCAACGGTCAGGGGGAGAAGGTTTATTTTTTTTATTCCCCCCCAATACTACATTAATATCCCCTAAATTTCTTTTTCTTTCCACACCACTCATTCTCTCAATCTCTCTACTCTCTACTTCAAATCTCCAATCAAATTCTCGTTCAATTTTTATTTATATTTATAATTTATTTATATTATTCAATTTTTTCTATTTTTTCAATATCATCTCTTATTCAAATTATTATTTAATTTTTTTTCATTTTAATTATTTATTATTTTATTATAAATTCATAATGAATTTCTGAAATGATGCATTCGGAGGATCATCCCCAAATGAGTTTTATGTTCCATCCATTGAAGAAATTAAAGGGTTCAATCCATTTTCACCATTTCCTCTAGAGGCAGCAACTGCAATTCAACAACCACAATCAGCCAGGACAAGGTGCAACCAAACACAAGCGAGTTGCGACTCAACGAGTACGGGCATGGCCCATAGGAAGACAGAAGATGCTTTTTAACCGATGAGATGATTGAAGTGATAACGTGTTTACGGGATTGGACTCATGCAGAAAGAAGACAGAAGATCCCGAACTACTCGAACTTTTTAGGAACACAGATTTTAATGATTTAAATATTGTTGACGATTAAGATGAATAATTTAATTTAAAAAATTATTTAATTGTTTATTTGTAAAGCGTGAATGTGTGGATATTATATTTATGTTAAAATTAACCATTAATTTATTTATTATTTTTTAATTTTTTAAAATTAATTAAACTTTTAAAAACTTACTAATCTACCCCTAAAAATTACTAAACCCCCCTACAGAATTTTATTTCCCCCCTAAAATAAAAAAAAAAAAAAGATAGGGGAAAAATAAAATTTTGCAGGCCCATAGGACCGGTCCGGATCCTAAAATTGCCCATAAGGGATTGGTCCCAAACGGGCCCAGGCCCAGTCCCAAGCTAGCTCTAGGCACCTCTCTTCATGAAAATGGGAGATTGGACATATGTGAGCTGCGTACAAATTTAATCTTTATTATTTTTCTCTGTAAACAAAGTATTTCTCTATTCTTTGTATGTCTTACAGGCAATATCAAAAAAATAGTCAGAGAATAATAAAATAATAGTAGATGTAGAATTTGCTTTAAGTATCCGAACCACTATAAAAATCTCTCTTGCCAATCTTTTATTTATGTTTTTGCAAATATATATAATCTCAACACCATAAACACTTCTCATGAATCATTCAAGTATAATTTCTAAGAACAGTTTAACACTTTATACGTATGAGTCGTTGGTATCATGATCGCGCATCAACAAGTCCCTTCTATGATATCTGTACAAAATTTTGTAATTATTAATTAGCAAATGACAATAGTCATTACAACTCCAAGAACAGAACCCGTGGGAAAGAGTAATTAAGTTGACAAATTAGTGCCGACAATCTCAACAAATAGCGCCATTGGCATTGGTAATTTGTCCTTGAATTGACTACTCCAAAGCCCATGGCCACTTCTTCTTCTTCACACGACGGAGATAGAGAATATGATATCAACATCTACAAGATCAGGAGACATAATAAGAATATTACCATATCAGTGACCCCATTAGTGATAATTAGAGTCATAATCAACCCTTTGAATGTGATGATTAAAGCTCTAGCCATGGGTAATTAAGCTTACCCAATTAGTACATTCAAGGACCGACAAAACATGATAATGGTAATATCAGTTTGTAAGGCCCGTTTGATTTGTGATTTAAAAACAGTTTTCGGAAACAAGGATAAAATCCAAATATAATGTTATCATTAGAGGAATATAAAAAAGTATTTATATATTAATAGATTCTATAAAATAAGTAAATAAAGAATTTTTTTTTTAAATAAAATTAGGATAGAGCTGTATAATGTTAAAAGTTGTATTTGTCTCGTATCACAATTTTGATAAGTTGTTATGATGTATATATATAAACCCTCCTCCCAAGAGACATGTAAATTGTAGTTATAAGTATAGTTAATTTGTTACACAAATTGCCAAAAAAAAAAAAATCTATTGGATAATTTCATCAACCTCAATTGACCCATAGAGCCACACCAAGACTTATTTTTTTTTTTTTCTCTTTTTTGTAATTGTATTTATCGAATACTATAATATTTCAAGTTTTATATATTAAATAATATGATGGTCTTTCAAAGATACACATCAGAAACCAAATAATTAAAGCTCATTGTTGTGTCAATTGGATTCAGCAATAATCTGACAACTAAGAAGAAGGCAGAAGTAGCAGTAATGACTCCACGAAAACAGAAAAACATTCATGGCCAACCTCAAGCCCCATTCTCGCTTTGCCCACTTGTCCTGTTTGCAATGGATTAAACTGAGCAAAATTTCTTGTCAAAGAAGATTTCTCTATTATATTCATGATGTGGAAATTGGAATTGGAACCACGCATCAAAAGTGTTATTCTCATCAGAAAAAGTCATATAAAGGAATGCATGTTAATAAAGTTGGAATCCCGTGTCCAAAGTATTGCAGAATTGCAGACGACTGCGATTTCAAAAGCTTCCATGAACTGATTGTTCACAGCTCTTTAATTTTATCTTTTGACTTCAAGGTCAGATGTTTTCCATTCATAAAACCAACCCACATCACAAATCCCTTTCTATTAAAAATTGGCCACTGTTGCTAGTTTGAAGATTGCTGGAAAGATAATGATGACGATCTACAGCCATAGATAAGGATGTCTTTGAGCAAAGTGAACTTCAACTAAAATTTTAACCATTAAATTAAGAGCATTATGTACTAAGAAGTCTTAACTCAGAAGAAGGATTTTGTGAACGTGTCAAAAACAAAAAATTTTGAATTAGTAAGCATCCTTCAACACAGCAACAGAAGATAAACATTCAGCCTTAGGAGAATGATTACACCACCTAAGAATTTCTGATACACGAATTAACCCAAAAAAAAAAAAAAAAAAAAAGCGCAAACAAACTATAATCTACGCATCATACGTGCAGAGGTTCTCAAATCCCATGTAGTCATGTGCTTCAATCTTCTCAATCATGTTTGATATGCCAACCCCACCTATCAACAGAAGAAAACATCAGTTTCGGAATTTGTCAAAGTAAAATGATATTATCAAGCCAGACAGCAGAGAGATCAGCACCAACCTAAAGATATTGCGCTAATAAATATTGTCAAGGCTAAAATGAAGATGATAAGCGATGCCCTTCCCAATAAAATAATCAGTTTTCTCACGACATGCTGCCCAATAAAAGCAGCAACGGTAGCCACAGCAACAAAGTAGAGAGCTGCCAAAGAAAGTAAAAAATCCATTGAAATTAGATAAAACATAGATCCAACATCTAGAATGCAAATTACATCGCGCGTTTCTTTGGAAGGTTTTTTTTCTGATGTTAAGGAATTACAGAAGTACAAATTGCATACAAAAAATTTGGGTGCCAGTGGGTCGCTTACCGTAGGGACAGGAAAACGTTTCAGAAGGTAATATTCTACAACTGACATGGATGAGGAGAAGGTCATAGCAAAGGTAGCAGGGCACTTGGACCTGCATAGAAGTCGTCAAGAAGATTAAAACTAACAATATTTAGCAAGCTTTGACTCAGAGAACATAACTTTTGTAAACACAATCATCTTTGCCTCTCCGTCATTCTAGTTCTAGTAAAGACACATCTCCACCAAAAGAGGTTTTCAGACCTTGAGGTTACTATGTAAGAAAAACTACAGCGTAGCCACATTTTGCAAAAGCAATATTATCACGTTAAGCTTCATCTTAACCTGATATTTCTGTCTAGTCATTAGTTCCCAAATTAGGACAATATTGGAGTTGGGAACAATAAAGGTGAAGGAGCATAAATCACTTCCTTGCAGAAGCTAAAACTAATGAATATGATTTTCTGCTCCGACACACCAGTTATCAAGTATAGTTCAAGAGTAAATGATTATGATCATCATTCCTATTCAAAATAAATTTGTATATAAATATAAATTTATAAATTCAGATCACATTTAAAAGGAAACAATAACCCACCTGAGGAGGAACTCCCAGCTCCAAAACAGTGGACCCATGATAAATCCTCCTCCTGTCCAAGCAGCCCACCAACGCACCCCAGCCAATAATCCAGGCACAATAGTAGCAAGCTGGTGCAATTAAACTTTTTCCGTCCTCTCCCTTTGAAGCTATTACTCTACTCCCTGTACAAGCTACAGCCTATACATAGATACCCCAAACGAACTGGGATCTGGATAACATACTCATTGTCAAATTTGGCAGTGTCAGGTATCATGTCTCAATACACAGGCAAAAGCAGATAAAAACTTGTAGATACTCATTGTATAAGAAGTCAATAATGCAATAGAATGTACCTGCATTAAGTTCAATACCCATATGCTAACGAGCATGGAGATGTATAATCTGTAGCCAAAGTCATTATTCAGTTAGCCCAGAATACTGCGTAACAAGAAATTGAAATATATACTATGACGATAAGAGACAGCAGAAGAAACAAAACCTTGGAAATTTGTAGTCCAAGGAATGCAACCCACAAACACAAGAAGTCCGAGTTCCTTCCAACAAACATCTCCAAAATAGTCACCTGCCATTGCCAAATATATTAGCTTCAAGAATTCTTATAACTCACTACAGCAGACCAAAGTGCACTCACTTCTCGGTCCATGGTATCCTTTTGAGCTTCACTCCTTGGACCATAGGAAGGGGCTTATACTCCACCTCAGCAGCACCAGCACCTGCGGGAAAGGAAAAAAATAGGTGGGTTGATTTAAGATGGATGATGTATGAGCAAGTATTATTCAATAGTCTTTGGATATAATAAATAACAGCAAGTACACGTACCATTGGATTCCAGACGCTTCGCAGCCTCCTAAAATCGAAACCAAGTTCAAATGGTTTAAAATAAATTTTGGGGCATTAATACATACATTACAATCGAACTTTGACACAGATTTTATATGTTCCTATTTTGTTCAGTGAATTAGAAGACCAGGAAAGCAGAAAAACCATCTCTAACAATGGACTCCAATTGAAAGGTATCATGACTCCAATTATGGAATTTTATGCAGCATGCAATAGAAAGGGCTCCTTTATAAATGGACAGGAGAGACCACAAATTATGTTTAGTGGAAGATCCCATTAATACAGGAAGTGCACATGGCTGGTACTCAAAGCAAAATATCTGTATAATAGATGAAATTACCTTTTTCATAATGGTTTCTGTTTTCCATGTCTCGACACCCTTGAAGAACGCCTTGGTTGAAGTGCCTATGAGAACCATCATAATCAACATAAGTTGTTATTAAAGCAAACTTCCAACAGAGGGAACTGCAGCTTGAGTAACCATTACCAAAAAGAGAACAATGAGTAGAACTGTGACCATCCAGTCAGCAAATACAAACATTGAATGCAACCCTATGCTAATTCCAGCATGAGCATTGGTTGTATTAGCAGAGCCAGATCATAGTCAAATGAAGGCATATCAATTGTAGGATGCCTTAGCTTAAGGTTATAGTAAACTGTGGAGGCTGCCGCACCATAATCATACCTGAAACAAAAAAAAAAAAAAGAGGGCAGAGATTAAATTACAAATAACAGATCCTCGTTTATTATCTTTACTTCCTAATACTGTCAATAATCCACTAAAAGAGAGAACCCAGAATTTCTGTAAACACGCAACATAGATGCCAGCATTAACAATTATGGCATGATCACATTGTAATCGTCACACTGAGAACTTTGGCACTATTGAATTCAGCCATTGGCAAATAACAAACAGAAATCACAAAAACACACAAAAATATTTACAATAAAAATCATGAAACAGTTTATAACAGTTTTAAAAGAGAAATCTAGGTGTATCACCGCAGTGATTAAAATTTCAAAGCTCAACTTAAACAGTTTAAGACTCAAGGTCGCCTAAAGTTAAATCAAGCAGGATAAATTAAAAAAAAAAAAAAAAGTTAATGGCTGTCATGGCAAGACAATAAGTCAATGGCATGGATCACATAATCCTTTGTGCTCAAATATTTAAAAACTTAAACTTAAGAAAATAGTGTTTTAACTCCATTCAAATCTGAATTTTTGAGACACTCAGCACATATTACAATAATAATAGTAACTAATCTTTAACTTTGTAACTTTATTCTTTGTTTCTACCTTTCCTCGTTTAGATAGAAATGAACAAGCATCCGAACAACCAGTCTCTTTCAAGTTTTAACCTTTCTATAAATTGAATTTCAGCAAATAAGATTCATCGGTCTCTTACATTTGAAATAGCGGTAGCTGATTTTGCATCAAACCCAATAACAGGCTAAGATAGGAACAAAAATTCCGCCACACCGACCCACCAACAATTCAAACGCAGCTCCGAAGAATCATAATACTGCCAGAACAATTTGCCATCCAAATTTCATTTCTGAGAACAAAATATTAACTTTATTTCAATAAAAATTTTGATTTTACATCACACTGAGAGACTATATAATCCAAACTAATGCACAAAAAGCAACACCACAACATTGTTAAGAATAATTGAAACAAGACGATAACGACTGTCAGTTTATTTATTTATTTATAAATAAATACAGATAGATTGAAGAATCTAATAGCCAAAATTAAAAGGTCCGGAGAATATTCAACTCACCGGCCAAACATGGTGATAACCAGATTGACAGATTGCCATAAGAATTTACAGCTTGAGGAAGAAATCTGATTCATGTTTTGCTCCTCCATGAATCCTGAAGCTTCAAGTTTAAGCCTCTTTCGGCTTTAGCAAAACACAAAAGCCAACACAAAGTTGAAAAAAATCATTAATATCGGTCTCCAAACCCGCCATTTCGCTCCAAAGTCCGCCATTAGATCGAAAATCACACCAATTCTCAACAGTCTCTCACTTTCTCTCGCAAAGTTCATACAAAAAAAAATCCCACCTCTAAAATTCTAAAAACTCTTAAAACTCTTATACTAGCACAAAAAACGTAGGCACGTGGTTTATTGATTCAATGAAAAGCAACTGCAAAAGAACAAAAAGAAAAAAAAAAAAAAAAAAAAAAAAAAACGAAGAAGAAATGTTGAATCTTTGAATGAGTGGTCGATTCCTGCTAGATTTGCAGACCCAAGTGGAACAATTTGAGTGAAAAGAAAGAAAGTTTCTGGGAGAAAAGAGAGAAATACGAATTATAGTTATCAACTCTGATGGTGGTATGTGTTTTATAAAAGAGAAGCGACGGAATGTTCGAAAAATGTGGTGGGGATGTAAAAAGCAAAATGAATCAAATGGAGAGTCGTTCTCTTTTCCTTTATCTCTGAAGTATGGATTCGTGTAAGTAAATATATAATTTATAAAGAAGACGAAGAGAGTGAGAATGTGGGTGGTCTGAAATGAGCGATTGATTTTGAATCTTTTGATTCTGTGAGAGAGAAAATACAATTTTATCAAATTTATGTCTTTGTTTGGCTGTGTTTTGTGACAAGTGGTGTTGGTTGATATTTGGATGTTTATGAGGTAATTTAGGAATAATGCGTCACTATGCCCTCTCAATGTCAACATCAATATCACAAACCAGCTTTATAATTTTTATTTTTATTTTGCGAAACTATTTTAACAACCAAATTTTAATTTTCTATTTAAAAATATAAAAAGTTTTTTTAATTTAAAAATTAAAAGTTCGGATCATTTACACACATGTTAACTAATTTTTTAGTATTATGATACATAAGTAATTGTAAGATTTAAACTCAAAAAACTAAAAAGAAAATAAAAAAATAAAAGGAAACTTCTTCCCCACGTGATTTTCGTATATAGACTTCAGAGTTGTTTTATAATTGAGAATTAAATAAATAATATCATTGGACATTGTTGGCTATTATTTCTATCCTATTCTCAATCTATCTCCAAATAAAGTTTGGTACATTATTCTAGGAATATTACCTTTTTTTTTTATTATTTTTAGACCCTAAGGTTATTAATTCTATTAAATACCCATTAAAAAAAAGTTTAAAAATTAACAAAAATACCCCCGTGACCCACACTTGCCAGATTCCGGCAACCACCGTCGTAATAGCCGGAATCTGTCATAACGGTGAATTACCGATCGAAACTGGCGATATATCACGATCTGGCCTTTTCGCCCAGATCCAGTAGCAAGCGACGACTATCTTGGCCGTTGCTGACGACCAAAGTAGCCATCGTTTTGGCCTTTTTCGACCGTCGGGGGCCACAGCAAGCGTAGATCTGACCTTTTCGGCCATATCCGTGGTGGATCTGGCGGAAAAGGCAACCTAACGAGCGTTACAAACACAGATCCGAGGGTCTGTGTGTAATACGATTTTTGAACTAGATTTTGGCAGCGGTGGCCAAGAATCTGACATGGCAGGTGGTGGAGTTTTTTGTTATTTTATATATTGGGGGTTTAATTAAATTAGTAAATCTAGGGGCTTTTTTATAAATTTTTAAATTTTACCTCGTAATACTTTCTTATCAACTACCCAATATTATTCCTAAAATCTATATCAAATGAATAAACCAAACGACCCAGTACTCTAACCAAGCTAACAAAATTAGGTGACACAAGAATAATATTAATTATTTATTTTAAGAAGAAAAAATGAGGAGACTTTTAACTCTGCATAAATATACAAACTAGCTGCCACATATCGACATTATTAGGATATCACGTGACGAAATTAATTATTGGAGTCTGACGTGGGCGATCGGCCCATGGCGGATCTGTCCTGTCGTCTAATTCTTCTGGCCAGAATCAATTGGCAAATATGGTGACAGAAAATAAAAAAAAAAAGTTACATGCGTTGTTAGAATATCAAGTGTATTTTGACAAATATTATATTAGATCTAAGATTTGGATGTATTACGAGATAAAATTTAAAAAATTTAAAATAGTAAACGAATTTTGATATGAATTTTGATAATAGAAAATAAATTATGTATTTTGATGGAATCGGATAAGAGATAGAAAAATCAATGTTGTATTTTACCTCTTGTGAATATATTTTTGAAATATTATTATAGTGTTAGAATTAGATGGTTATTAAGAAGTCTAATTTAAAAATTAAAATAGTTAAAAATAGAATAATATTTTGAACAATATAAATAATAAAATGATATTTAGTTAGGATATAGCGATAATTTTAAACAAAGTCACCATGATCATAGGCTTCTATTTTCATAATAAAGCCATAAGGAGAGAGTTGGGCTGGTAGCAGATCTGCGGAAATAAGTTGCGTTAAAGAAGCACAGTGTAGGTGGGCCAGGCAGGAGGACGTTTGAAAACTTCAATTGAAGGACCACACACGGTGATTTTTTTTTTTTTTTTTTTTGTAGCCTTTGACCTTTAAATAAAATAAAAAATATTACGTCTATAATTCAATTTTACAATTTTCGTTCTATATCCTAACAAATGCAGAAGAGCAGTGAATTGATTATGTTAAATGACCAACTTTGATTAAATAGAACAGGCGTTCCTTGAAAAACAAACAGTTTGTTTCAGTATGAAACACAGTTTCATGAAGGAAGGATTGTTAGTTAGGTTTTGAGGTGGGTGTGAGATGTAGTTGTTTTGGAGTATAGTGGGAAGCTAAGGAACATTGTTAAACTCCAATATAAGGGAATGTAAGAGAACTTATTGACATTAGGTTGTCGACATAGTTATTACTTTTAAATTAACGATCAAATTTGTAACTGTTAAATGACAGCAGAATTAGTATATCATGGTCATGGACTTTACCAAAAAAAAACAGCGTTGTTCTTAGAGACGGAACAGTTGGTTTCTTATTTTTATAAATGAACGGCGTGTCGTCCCTAAAAATAATTATTTGTGTTTAGTCAAAGTATAATAGCTTGGGTATGAAGGAAGCTAATAGATAACAAGTTGTTAAGTAGGGCTAATAAGTTTAGATGTAAGAGATCAGATGTGCGAGATTGGGTTGAGAGGAATCATTACATCTTTAAAATAAATTGTCAAAAATATACTAATGAATTAAAAAAAAAAAAAAAAAAAAGTCTCCGGGCCATGTTGCTATTATTTTTATCCCTTATTCCCAATCATATCCCAAGAGATGTGTTGAGCATATTATTCCAGGTAGAGAAAATATTACTCTGTTTTTAATACTTATAGACCCCAAAGGTATTAATTTCATCAAATTACACCCTAAAAAAGTTTAAAAATTATCAAAAGCACGCCCCGCGACCCTACTTGCAGATTCCGACAACCACCACTCGGTTGGTAGCGGTTGGGGCAATATGTACACGGTGATTACCTGACAAACAATAAATGGCCGAAAGTCAACCGATCTTGCCGACGTGAAACGTACGGCCAAAGAAATGGC